AAAATCCCGTCTAAGTCCCTTTTACACAGTTGCAGATGTTGCATTTACGACCTGAGCTTCGCAATTGCAAAGCTCGCAAATGCAAGAAAGGTATCGCAAATGCGAACCTGTCGCATTTCTGCTTCTGTCGCAAATGTGTAGGACCCCTTCCCCAGACCAACTTTACAAAAGCGAAGGATTGTTCGCATTTGCGAACATAGGCTTGCCCAGCTTCTCTTCGCATTTGCAATGAGAAGCTCACAAATGCGACCTCAACAGTAATCACAAATGCGAACCTTGACCTCGCATTTGCGAGTCTGAGGCCTTCAACATAGCTGAAGAACACCAACAACTTTTCTAAGTTCCAAATCACTCTGTAGCCTATCCGAAACTCACCCGAGCCCTCGAGGCTCCAAACCAAACATGCACACAAGTCTTAAAATATCATACGAACTTACTTGTGCGATCAAATCTCCAAAATAACATCTAGAACTACGTATTTAGCACCAAAACACATGAAATTTGTAAGAACACTTTGAAATTCCTATTTTCACAACCAGACGTCTGAATCACGTCAAATCAGTTCTGTTTCTCACCAAATTTTATAGATAGGATATAAATATTATATTAAACATGTACCGTGCTCCAGAATTAAAATACGGGCCCGATACCAACGAGATCAACACTAATCAAATTCTTTAAATCATTAGATTTTCAGTCTTATAATTTTAATCAAAAATTTATTTCTCGGGCTAGGGACCTCGGAATTCATTTATGGATATACGCCCAGGTCCCATATTTTACCAAGGACTCGCCGGGACCGTCAAAATATGGGACCGGGTCTATTTACTCAAAACGTTGACCGAAGTCAACTAAAATCAACATTTTAGGCCAAAATTATTATTTCATCAATTGTCCACGTAGAAGCTTTTCGGAAACGGGCCCGGACTGTACACACAAATTGAGGAGAGATAAAATGAGGTTTTTAAGGCTTCGGAACATGGAATCGAGTACTAAAACATAAGATGACCCTTTGGGTCATCACATTCTCCACCTTAAAAAAACCGTTCGTCTTCGAACGGACATAGGAAAGTACCTGAGCCGGTAAATAGGTGGGGATATCTGCTCCACATATCGGACTCGGACTCCCAGGTAGCTGCCTCAACAGGCTTACCTCTCCAGTGCACTCGAACCGAAGGATAACTCTTCGATCTCAACTGACGAACCTGCCAGTCTAAAATGGCTACCGGCTACTCCTCGTAGGTCAAATCCCGGTCCAACTAGACAGTTCTGAAGTCTAACACATGGGATGGATCGCCGTGATACTTCTGAAGTATGGACACATGAAACACTAGATGTACCGCTAATAAACCTAGTGGCAACGCAAGTGTGTAGGCCACCTCTCCCACTCGCTCAAGGATCTCAAAAGGCCCGATATACCTAGGGCTTAACTTGCCCTTTTTTCAAACCTCATTACGCCCTTCATAGGCGACATCCGAAGCAACACTCTATCTCCGACCATGAATACCATATCACGAACCTTACGCTCGGCATAACTCTTCTGCCTGGAGTGAGCTGTATGAATTCTATCCTGAATGATCTTAACCTTATCCAAGGCATCCTATACCAAATCTATACCCAATAACCGAGCCTCCCCTGGATCAAGCCACCCAACCGGCGATCGACACCGACTACCATATAATGCCTCATAGGGAGCCATCTAGAAGCTCGACTAGTAGTTATTGTTGTAGGCAAACTCCGCTAATGGTAAGAACCTCCAAGTCAATAACACAGGCGCGGAACATATCCTCCAAGATTTGAATGGTATGCTCAGGTTGTTCATCCGTCTGAGGATGAAATGTTGTGCTCAACTCGACCCGCATACCCAACTCACGCTGTACTGCCCTCCAGAAGTGTGAGGTAAATTGCGTACCTTGATCAGAAATGATAGACAAGGGCACACCACGAAGACGAATGATCTCACGGATATAAATCTCTGCCAACCACTCCAAAGAATAGGAAACTGCCACAAGAATGAAATGCGCTGACTTGGTCAGTCTATCCACAATAACCCATACTGCATCAAACTTCCTTTGAGTCTGTAGGAGTCTTACAATGAAATCCATAGTGATATGTTCCCACTTCCACTCAGGATTCTCTATCTTCTGAAGCAAACCACCAGGTCTATGATGCTCGTACTTTATTTGCTGATAATTTAGACACTGAGCTACATGTGCAACTATGTCCTTCTTCATCCCCCTCCACAAATAATGCTGCCGCAAGTCCTGATACATCTTAGCGGCGCTCGGATGAATAGAATACCTGGAACTGTGAGCCTCCTCTAGAATCAACTCATGAAGTCCATCCATATTAGGCACACAAATACGACCCTGCATCCTCAAAACTCCATCATCTCTAACCGTAACCTACTTGGCATCACCGTGTCACACTATGTCCCTAAGGACAAGCAAATAAGGATCATCATACAGCCGATCTCGGATGCTCTCAAATAGGGAAGACCGAGCAACTATGCAAGCTAAAACACGATTGGGCTCAGAAACATCTAACCTCATGAATTGATTGGCCAAGGCTTGAACATCTAATGTAAGCGGTCTTTCACCAACTGGAATGTACACAAGGCTGCCCATACCAGCTGACTTCCTACTCAAAGCATCGGCCACCACATTGGCCTTCCGAGGATGATACAAGATGGTGATATCATAGTCTTTTAATAGCTCCAACTACCTTTTCTGCCTCAAATTGAGCTCATTCTGTTTGAACAAATACTGCAAACTCTTATGATCCGTGAACACCTCACACGACATGCCATATTGATAGAGCCTCCAAATCTTCAGCGCATGAACAATGGCTGCTAGCTCCAGGTCATGAACTGGATAATTCTTCTCGTGAACCTTCAGCTGCCGTGAAGCATATGCAATAACCTTGTCACCCTGCATCAATACCGCAACAAGTATAATACGAGATGTGTCACAATATACGGTATAAAGCCCTGATCCCGTGGGCAACACCAATACTGGCGCCATAATCAAAGCTGTCTTGAGCTTTTGAAAGCTCACCTCACACTCGTTTGACCATCTAAACGGGGCACCCTTCTGAGTCAACCTAGTCAATGGGGCTGCTATAGATAAAAACCCCTCTACAAATGTCTTTTCGTGCTTTCCAAATTCAGCCGCTCACAACTTACTACCGGGACATCTGGGTTTGTCCTCTGTATGTGCCTGAACCTTCTGAGCCTCGCTTCCCGCATCTTGTCATTAATGGGAGCCATACCCACTTTCTCCCGAATATTCTCATTCCTAATCTTATCCATCCTAGTGTGCCCGCACATCCACCTCAACATCCTCATTTATGCTACTTTTATCTTTTGGATATGTGAGTTCTTAACTGGCCAACACTCAGCCCCATACAATATGGTCGGTCTAACTACCACCCTATAAAAATTACTTTTGAGTATCGGTGGTACTTTTTTGTCACACAGGATTCCAGATGCTAACCTCCACTTCCTTCACCTCACCCTTATACGGTGTGTGAGATCCTCGTCGATCTCCACATCTCCCCTTATAACCAACCTAAAGTACTTGAAACTACCTCTCTTAGGGATGACCTATGATTCAAGCCTCACGGCCATGACCGCCTCTCTCGGCTCGACGCTGAACTTGAACTTTGGGTATTCCGTCTTAGTTCTGCTCAACTTGAAACCCTTAGACTCAAGGGCCTGTCTCCGAACCTCCAGCCTCTTGTTAACACCACCTCGCGTCTCATCAATTAGAACTATGTTGTCAGCGAATAACATACACCATGACACCTCCCCTTGAATATGGTGTGGTAGTGCGTCTATCACCAGGGCAAATAAGAACGGGCTGAGTGAAAATCCTTGGTGTAACCACATAGCAACTAGAAAATGCTCCGAGTTGCCTCCCACAGTCCTAACCAGAGTCTTAGATCCATCATACATGTCCTTAATCGCCCTAACGTAAGCAATCGACACACCTTTTGCCTCCAAAAATCTCTAGTGAACATCTCTAGAGATCTAGTTATACACTTTCTCTAGATCAATAAACACCATGTGCAGACCCTTCTTCATATTCCTGTAATATTCCACCAACCTGCTAATAAGGTGGATAGCTTCTGTAGTAGAATGACCCGGCATGAACCCAAACTGGTTGTCAGATATAGACACCACCCTCCTCACCCTCACTTTTACTACCCTCTCCCAAACATTTATGGTATGACTCAGTTATTTGATACCCTTATAGTTATTACAACTTTGTATATCATCTTTGTTCTTATACAACAGAACCACTATACTCTACCTCCACTCATCCGGCATCCTCTTCGTCATAAAAATAACATTAAACAGCCCAATCAGCCACTCCAAGCCTGCTCTTCCCACATACCTCCAAAATTCTACCAGAATTTTGTCTTGCCCGGTCGCTCTGCCCCTACTCATATTACACATAGCCCCCACGACCTCCTCAACCTTGATGCTCCTATAGTACCTAAAGTCACGGTGACTCTCGTAATTCCCTAATTCACCTATCACAATATCCCGATCTCCTTATTCATTCAGAAGCTTATGAAAGTAAGACTGTTATATCCTCTTAATCTGGGCCTCTCCCATCAATACTCTACAGTCCTTATCTTTGATGCACCTCACTTGGTCCAGATCTCGAGCCTTCATGTCTCTTACCTTGGCTAACCGGAATAACTTTTTCTCCCCGCCTTTGTATCTCAGTTCCTCTTACATACAACCAAAAGCCACAGTCTTAGCCTCCGTAATTGCCGGCTTAGCCTCCTTCCTAGCTACCTTATACATGTCCCTGCTCGCTCTCCTCCCCTCCTCACCTGTGCTCCTTACTAACTTCAGGTACGTTACCTTCTTTGCTTTACTTTACCTTGGACGACTTCATTCCACCACCAGTCGCTTTTGTGCCCCCACAGTAGCTCGTCGAGACTAACACCTCTTTTACAGCCTCCTTTATACAGTCTGCCATCGTCGACTACATAGAGCTCGCGTCCCCACTACTCTTCCAGGCTCCCCTAGCCGATAAACTCCCCTCCAACTCCTGAGATTTATCCTTAGTTAAGGCTCCCCACGTGATCCTCAGTCGTTCTCGTACAAACATTTTCTTCCTCTTCAACATAATACCGACGTCCATCACCAAGAGCCTATGCTGCATCGCGAGAATCTCACTCGGGATAACCTTACAATCCTTGCACAGTCCTCTGTCATATCTCCTGAGGAGGAGATAGTAAATCTGAGTCTTTGCCACCGTACTTTGGAAAGTAACCAAATACTCCTCCCTATTCAGAAAACTAGAGTTTGCAATCACCAGCTCAAAATCCTTAGCAAAATCCAATAACAAAGTACCTCCCGAGTTCCTACCCCCAAAACTGAAGCCGTCATGCACCTCGCCATAGCCACCTACAGTCGACCCAATATGTCCATTGAAATCCTCTCCTATAAATAACCTCTCAACAGGTGGAACATTATGCACAATCTCATCCAACCCCTCCCAGAAGTGCCTTTTAACCTCCTCATCCAGGCCCGCATGCGGCGCGTAAGCGCTAACGACGTTCAGGGTGCACTCTCCAACCACCAACTTAATAGTCATTAATCTATCATTCACCCGCCTTACCTCTACCACAGACTCTCTATATTCCCTATCCACCAAAATACCCACTATATTCTTACCCTTCAGGACTCTAGAGTACCATAGCTTATACTCGTACACATCCTCGCCTTCGATCCTACCCATCTTGTCTCCTGGACACACGTTATATTGACCTTCCTCTTCTGGAGGATCTTCACTAACTCTATAGACTTACCCGTCAATGTTCCTATGTTTCATGACCCAATTCTCAACCTATAGGCTCCCTTGTTCCCCTTACCTCCCATCCCACCCCATGTTCCCCGTCCTACCCCTTCCCCCGAGGACATGACTTTACTCTACCATCCCATATTACAACCACTATACCTACAACACACTAAGGAAAAACACTAACAAACAATAGGCAACAGACCAAACTAGAAGAAAACAAGTTGTAACTACATGCATGCTAATATGATGATTAAACTAATGCGAACTATAATGGCAACAATTTAGTTAACACAAAGAAGGGAAATAGGAAAATGGGAGGTATCAACTTCCGAGAATAGAACCTGTAAATTGTCTTGGTGTACACGACGATCTTGCGGCACCTGGCGCATTCATGTCCAACTTCCCACTGCCCTTTGCTGACAATTGCCCGGGCTGCTCTCCTATGTTTTCACACGCACTTTCCGCTCGAGTCCAATAGCCACTGAATCTTACCTGAAATATATACAAAATACCACGAAATCAGGGGGGCTGTCACCGCTACCACTGGTGAAGCCCTAGCAGTAAAGAAGAGGAAAAGAAGAGAAAATGAGAGAAGAAAAATAGTGTGTGTGTGTGNACCTTTGTTAGGTCGCTGGTTCAATTCTTATTGGCCACAATCTCTTGTAATAACTTTTTTTTTGAACTCTTAACGGAAATCCTGCTTCCGCTACTGGTTGCGTCGACGGTTGGAAACTTGGAATTTAAAATCTCTAGGTGAATTCTTTCTAGTTTCAGCTACAGAATAGAAGCAATTAGCGAGTTCTCTGTAAAATAATATCCATATTCGGAAGTGTATTATTGCCTTAAAGAGTTCACTCTAATTGGAATTTTTACAAATTCACAGATATGAAAAATAAAATGAGCTATCAATAAACATCAAAGTTGTTATTAGGTACACAACAATTGAGAAAAATGAACAACCGACAGCAACTAACAGAAGATGAAGTTAAGATTAAGTCCCTAACTTGATTAGTACTTAAGTGTTAAAAGTTGGAGAATGAGTGCAACTGATTAACTTAAAATTTGCCAATTGTTGGTTCACGAATTATCCAAATATTTTCTACTTTAACTTGATATGAGTATTCGAATTTCAGCTCCAAGTTACAGATTGCAGCTGTCATATATGACGTTGATATTAACAAATTAATTATTTATCCATAACAATAGTATTAGTCATCACTATACTTGCAAACGTAACCTTTATTTTCCTCTATTTCAGCTAAACACTAGTATTAAGTTGTGTAAAAAACACAATCAGATTACTTATTAAGCATTACAGGTAAATCTCTTGATAAAAATTAATTAGTAATCTGTTAAAAATAGTTCTAACATACCTACTATTACATTAGATATTCTCTGTAGGTAGTCTCCTTATACGACCAATATATATAGCTTGAATCCTTCGAGTTTTATGGCTTGCGTGTAGAGGCAGAGTCAGATTTTAAGGTTTACGGATTTTAATTTTACCACGGAACCTATAGCTCATCTTAGTTACTGGATCACAACTAGATATTTATGTGTTTAATAAATTTTCTAGTGTAAATATAATATTTAAGCTAAAGTAACTGGGTTCGGCAACTCGCACATAATAGGCTAGCTCCCTGGGGGCAATTTGCCCATGCAAGAATTCATTTTTTGTCTTCTTGTCGTAATCAAGATTGCAAAATTGTTGTTATGGGTACTGAGGCAGCTGCCACAATGTTAGAAAAATTAAAAGCAAAATCTTTTTTTGGTCATATACAGGATTCAATTCATAGACATCAGTTCCTAGCTATCAAAAGAAAAGAAAGAAGCTGCAAATATCCACCAGAATTCATTGAGAAACCGTTATATATGTGGAATATGAATAGAATAAGAGAATAATTATCAAACTTGAACATCACTCAAAAATATGGTTGGTCCAACACCCTAAGCAGGTTAATATGGAGTCTATAATTTCCTATTTAACCACCAAATTGACCAAACGCTCAAAATATATATAAATGTTCCATTTTCATTATCATCCAAAGCAACTCAGTTTTCAACTCATCACTCATCTGTATATCCCAAACAAAAGAATCCAAAACATGGAGTACTCTTTTGTGAAGAGTTCAAATCTCGTTTTGTTGACTCTATTTGTGTTGGTTTTAGTTGATACACTAGCACTTGCAAAGCATGCAGGGATTACCAGACACTACAAGTTTAATGTACGTGATATATATATGGTTGATTACTTCCCATTAATGCATAATAGGTTCATGATTATTTTCTTTTAAAATGTCTCTGACATTGCAGATTCAAATGCAAAATATGACGAGATTGTGTCAAACAAAGAGCATTGTAACAGTGAATGGCCAGTTTCCAGGGCCTAGAATTATTGCAAGAGAAGGAGACAGACTTGTTATCAAGGTTGTTAACCATGTTCAGTACAATCTCACCATTCATTGGTACGTAACAATCTTTCCTGTTGCGAGCTATTTCTTTCCTACGGAGTATTATATTTTAACACAAACTTTAAGTTATATACATTGACGGTATAAAGAATTTTTACAACTGACTATAGCATGTGATTACTTTATATTCTGTGCTATCATATCAGACTTACTATGAAGATTTAACTATTTCAGGTAAACTTAATTAAGCTTATAGTGTAAACAAATTTATATACTGTACATGCAAATAACTTAATCTCCTTAACAAACAGAGTAATCAAAATATAAAATACTCCACCTTGCCTATGGTTCAGCTATACATGTTGTTCGGACTCTTCAAAAAGTGCGTGTTAAATGCTCCAAAAGCAATGCATTATATTTTTGGATGACCCGACATGAGTATGACAGCATAGAGAGTCCGAACAACATAGTGGCTCAGCAGTGACGGACCCAAAATTTTTGCAAGCGGGTTCAATCTTAGAAGTACATAACTTTAGTCGTAAAATAGTAGTTGTCCAGTGGGTTCAAATAAAATATTTATACAAAATTTACGCAGTTTTAATCGTAATTTATACATATACACAATATTATTTTTTGATGAACCGGGTTCAGTTGAATCCGCTTGCCACCACGTGCGTCCGCCACTGTTGCTCAGTACGTCTAGTCTAATAATATATGCTTATTATGTTACTCCAGGCATGGAGTGAGACAACTAAGAAGTGGATGGGCAGATGGACCTGCATATATTACACAATGCCCTATTCAGACAGGCCAGAGTTATGTATACAATTTCACAATAACTGGTCAAAGAGGAACTTTATTTTGGCATGCTCACATCTCATGGCTGAGAGTTACACTTTATGGACCCATTGTTATTCTTCCAAAGAAAGGTGCTGCTTATCCTTTTCCACAACCCTTCAAGGAAATCCCCATTCTTTTTGGTAATATTCAAACTTAATTATTAATCAGTTATATCAATACTCTTTTTATTAGTCTATTGTCATACAGTATAAGGGATCCCTTGGAGCAACAGTTAAGTTGTTTGCGTGTGACCTATAGGTCACGGGTTCAAACCGTGGAATCAACCACTGATATTTGTATCGGGATAGGCTGCCTACATCACATCCTCTTGGGGTGCGGCTCTTTCCCGAACCCTGCGGGAACGCAAGATGCCCTTTTTATTGTCATACAGTAATTTTTAACCAAAATTACTCATATATATTTGCATGGATTATAGGTGAATGGTGGAAGGCAGATACAGAAACAATTATTAGTAAAGCCCTTCAAACAGGAGGAGCTCCAAATATTTCTGATGCTTATACCATCAATGGTCTTCCTGGACTTTTCTACAATTGCTCTGCTAAAGGTATAATACTCACTATAACAGTAAAATCATAAAAGTATTTTTTTGTCACGTAACTATAACAGTAAAGTCATAAAACTATTTTTGTCACACTAAAATAACTGAACTTTCATACATTTTACAGATACATTCAAATTGAAGGTGAAACCAGGGAAGACATATTTACTGAGATTGGTCAATGCTGCACTGAATGATGAACTTTTCTTCAGCATAGCAAATCACAACCTTACTGTTGTAGAAGTTGATGCAGTTTATGTAAAACCATTCAAGACCAACACAATTCTTATAACACCAGGACAAACCACAAATGTCCTATTGAAAACCAAACATTTTCATCCTAATGCCACCTTCCTCATGGCGGCTCGGCCTTACGCCACTGGTCCTGCTGCCTTTGATAATTCCACCACCACTGGAATCTTAGAATATCATCAACCCTCTAATAACACCAAGAAAAGCAACACATTTCCTCTGTTAAAACCAAAACTTCCCATATTCAATGACACAACTTTTGCTACAAGTTTTGTCAAGAAAATCAGAAGTTTAGCCAATGGAAAATTCCCAGCCAATGTTCCTAAAAAAGTTGATAAACATTTTTTCTTCACTGTAGGATTAGGATTGAATCCATGTCCTAAGAACCAAACATGTCAAGGACCAAATAACACTAAATTAGCAGCTTCTGTTAACAATATATCCTTTGTTCAGCCAAATGTAGCACTTCTTCAATCTCACTTTTTTAATCAATCCAAAGGTGTTTATACCACAGATTTTCCAGCCAATCCACCATTTAAATTCAATTACACAGGAAATCCACCAAACAATATTTTTGTTACCACAGGCACAAAAGTTGTGGTGCTACCTTTTAATACTAGTGTGGAATTAGTTATGCAAGATACAAGTATCATTAGTGCTGAAAGTCACCCACTTCACCTCCATGGTTTTAATTTCTTTGTAGTTGGTCAAGGTTTTGGAAATTATAATTCTAGTAAGGACCCTGCTAATTTCAACCTTGTTGACCCTGCTGAAAGGAACACTGTTGGTGTACCCCCCGGAGGTTGGGTCGCCATTCGCTTCCTTGCTGACAACCCAGGTATTAAATTATAGTTTAAGTTATATATACTGATAGT